TGATTCTGATCTACAAAGCCTTACTATTTTACCCCCCCCCCCCCCACTACTGAGTCATCAGTGACTTTCATAATGGCTGGCCGGTCACACTACACAGGACTATCCGTGCCTAAGCACGATTACCACTTGTACATAACGTCGTAATACAACACATGCACGCTTTATATTATTATGAAGCGTGCTCAGTTTACAAACAGGCGGACAGAGAGAGAGCGAGAGAGAGAGAGAGAGAGAAAGAGAGAGAAAGAGAGACGCGCAGTCGAGTCCGCGGCCGCACATCAGAGAAAAACACAGAACATGACAGCTACTTTTCTGACATTACAGCTCATTTTAAGCCATTTTAATCAGACACAGCCATAAATAAATAAATAAAATAAAATAGACGTGTGGCCGAGTCCGCGCGCGAGTCCGTGCGTGAGTCCGCGCGTACATTTGATTTGTACTTTGATCCAACTTAGGAGTAAGGGTAAAACCGAAGAAATGACAAATGCTGGATAGTAATTTCTTCCCTTTTCTTCTGCTAGTGGACAATTGTGTGAGTCTGGAGATGTTAATTAATGAATACCCCCATCCATGTCACACACAGTTTAAAAGTATTCACTGCCAATTTAAATGTGAAAACAGGCAAGATAAGTGAATGCACTTGGAGGTTATCTTTTTTCGAGGCACCCCTCTTTTGATGATGTTCACTGGAAGCTATCTGTATTTGAAGCTATATCCTCTATCAGTTATGAGCTTTAATGGCCGCTGTGGCTCAATTCAGTCAGTCATTTTTCACTGTGAAAGGTTGGGGGTTCGATCCCCAGCTCCTGCAGATACAAGTCCGATGTGTCCCTGGGCAAGACACTTAACCCCAAGTTACTCCTGCTGCTCTGTCAGCGGTGTATGAATGTGTATGAATGATATTAGCTACTTCTGATAGTCTCTTTACACATAGCAGCCTCTGCCATCAGTGTGTGAATGAGAAGGTGTGATTGCTGTGTAAAAACTACAAATGTGCTATACAAGCTCAAGTTCATTTACCATTTACCAGTAGCCTTGATAATGTTAATATGATGACAAGTGACAAGTTTTCCTCAGACGCTGGGACAAAGAGGCCGTAAGATGTTTGTCTGAGTTACTGAAGGTCACTCTGTTGGAGGAATCAGTTTGTAGTTGATGAGGAACAAATGGCTTAAAGATTTAAACCAGTCCATACTTTACTCACTCCTCTGAATTACATTCTGGTAGATTACTTACCAAACAATGAGCTACATCACTCTACAAAGCCGCTAAGTGGGGAGCCTTGAGCAGCTACTTCAGAAAGAGAGAGCTTCAGCCACATCACAGGGAGGATTCAATTAATATTTATGTATCAAATCATAGCTTTGAATAAGACTACTTTACATAAAGTGCTATCCTGTTGATGTTATTTGAAGAGACCTAATATAATCCCACTTGGCAACAGTTGGCAAAACAAAGACTTCTGTAAGATGATTATTTTTGTGAAGTTTGATTTTGCAGATATTATACATTTCTCAAGTATATACTGCTATATAATTACATTGTATGTTTACTGTGGTTTGGTGACATGATCTATCACAGCGGATGGTGTTCAGTTGTACAAGGTTTAAAACAGACATTAAAGGTGTACCAGACATGGGCTGTACAGCAGAAGTTGCATTAAGTATTGAGTCTACCAAGCAAGCATTTGTCCTTGAAAAGATGTTTCAAAGATGACTATATATGCACCATCGAAAAGATATTCAAAACTGGCTCAAAAACAAGATATTTCAATGTCCATTTAAAGATGTTGAATAAACGTCTATATTTAACCAGGAAATGTGCGTCTGTCAAAAGACTCATCACACATTCATAGAATATCTTTTCTTTAAAAAAGCATCTCATATCTAGCGGCAAAAATAATCAAACTAAAATGAACACAGGAGCGGACATGGTTTCCATCCTGACTACTTGGAAGTAGGTCTGTTGCTTTACACAACCTATGACACTTGCATAACACCATCACCCCTGTCAGATAGGTTATCAAATATCTACATCAGCACCCAGGGGTCTCTCTGTCAAGGTATTCAGAGTCATCACTTTTTGATAATGCTAAAATGTAAAAATTATCCCCATAATAAAACAAAGAGCTTAACCAGATACATTGTTATAGACTGAGTTGTTTCAGACCTATAGGAGGAGGACAGGAAGAAGGAGTCAGGTTGTAAAGGAGGAGGACAGAAAAAGAGGAAGCTCGCAGAAACAACATGTGCTGCTGGTGACGCAGAAGGAGGCAGGCGGGGCTAAGCTGTGTATAAGAACTGATGCTGAGTCCTCTCAGCGGCAACTATCACCGGTTTCCTTGGATCTGCTGCTGTACTATCCTAACTACTGACACCACAATGAAGATAAAGATTCCAGTGCTGTTCAACGCTGTTCTTTGTGAGTAGGCTACACAGCTTGTTTGTTTTTATGAAACCATTAACTTAGTCGCTCTTTTAAGTAAAATCTGGCAGCATGTTCAGTTTCAAATAGCTGATGTACTTAAAGTGTTCTCATCAGCATGTGCCAAATGTTGCACCCTTGAAATGAACCGGTCAGAACTCGTCCATCTTCACTTTTAGAAACTTTTATTAAAGAAAACTGCCCACAGCTTTACACCGCTTCGTTTTCAGGCTACACACTCCTCTGTGTCTGCGTCACTCTTAGAGGGCCAGTGTCGGAATCTTAACACAGAGAGCAGAGGAGAATTGTAAACGCTCGACCATGTAGAGCAGGGGTGCCCAACCTTTTTTGAACCAAGATCTACTTTTAAAGTTACCAGTCTGCCGAGATCTACCAGTCCACATAGTGAGCCATAGCCTTTACCGACAGCCTACAAACGCATTTAATACTCAAACAACAAACAGAAAATAATAAATGAGAGTTCTGTAAAAAATAATGCAGACTACAGACTACAGCAGGCTGCTGTGAGATGATTTTGCTTTTGTTAAATTAGCTGCAGGCACGGTGAGAGTGAACGGAGTAAAGTCGAACCGACTGTTTGACCGGGTCACGTGTGTTCCCACCTCGGTCCGTACGGATCACGGATCAACTGTGTGCTGTAGCACTAAAAGTAAAAAGTAAAAAGGTTCGCGTGGTGGCTGGCGCTCCAGTGCAAGTGTGTGTGTGTGTGTGTGTGTGTGTGTGTGTGTGTGTGTGTGTGTGTGCGCTGTATGTTGGTGTGTCTCGTGCCCCGCGATGCTCACAGTCATGACAGCAGAGAGGAGCAGAGAAAAGTAGCTGCAGCTTCATCAAATGCGTTTAATACTCGTAGCATAGTTTCTATATATGACTTTTTGGTAAAACATTTACCCCCCCGGTTTTACCTGCACGTCATTGCGCATGCCTGCACTCTCTCTTGCGCGCTCTCTCTCTCTCTCCCCTCTCTCTCTCTCATGCACGCAGCAATTTCATGAATAAATGAAAAATTAAATACACACAGGTCGGAAGTATACTTGGGCTCCCAACACAGGTATCGTGTGTGGGAAACAGTGCAATGAGATGAAATTGAAATCACTTTTCTATTTTACAATTGTATTTTATATTGATTAAACATCTCGCGATCGACTGAGAATCAGTCAGCGATCTACATGTCGATCGCGATCGACTGTTTGGGCACCCCTGATGTAGAGACAGAAATGACATGCCGTCGGGTAAATAAGATTAATAACATGAGCAGGGCTTGACATTATAACTGGCCCGCTGGCCCGGATGAATGAATGACAGAGGCCGGTTAAAATACTGCCTGAAAAAAATAAAATACACTGTAACACGTCGTCAATTTCACAGCGCGTTCCTGTCATGCCGGTGTTTTGTCAGTAATTATTTTAAAAACGTTGCAGAGAAGAAAGAAGGAGAGAAAGGTGATCATAACAATTCCAGCTCTATCACAGCCTCATATTAATATCAGATTAAGTAGCCTCTTACAGTTACCAGCATGGTGAATAAACATGAGCACGTAGATAGAAGAAAACAATAAAAAAAAAATACACAATATTTTTAGAGCTCAATTAATAAAAAAGTTGTAATTTACTTAAGCATCAGAATTGTTCAAGATTAAATTGGTGGCTGTTATTTTTCCGAATCGAAAGTAATGTTCCTGGACCAGTGATCTTTGAAAACTAGTGGCCCGGAGGCTTTACATATGCCGTCAATCTTTCTAGGGACAAGACTCTCTACATTTCTTGGAGTAAGTGAGGGAGGTCTATCATTTATCCACTGCTTCATACATCTCCTGGCCAGGAGTAGGAGTTTGTTGCATATAGCATTAAATTGGATCTACTTAGGGACAGTGTTTGGGAGGGTACGCTCAGTATGAAGAGACACAAAAGATTGTTCCGAAGAAATGTTAAATGTTTGTTGAAGTTGCTGAAGGGACAGCAGTGTGTTGTCCCCAACGAGCCTAATCCCTTTTGTGTGCCAAATATGAAAAACACTGTTCAGTGGGATTAATGCCAATGATGGAATGGTAAAGCGGTAATCGCAAAGTGAAAGTCCTTCTTTTTCTTTGGACTAAAAAGACATTTGAACTGAACTTTCGTAGATCAAATTGCATATTTCGTTTGTTTGGGACTTTTAGTTCATTGTGAATTGATAAAGGGGTAAATTAAATGGATATTTTTGTTAGGGTAGCAGTGTATTCAGCACAGAGCCTTTATCAGCGCTTTGTTTGTCTGAAGTTTGATTTCTGTTTGAGTGTGCTCCTTTTTTTCTGTTTTGAATTAGACCTATCCTAGAACCCACAATGCAACATAAACATTTACAAAAATGTGGACTACAAAACAATTATCGATTACATTTTTTCTATAATTATTATTTAATACTTTTGACTATCTAAAAACAGCAGGATGAGATGTGTTGTTAGAAACACTACCTACACTTGTACAGAACAAGCAAAACAACTTTTGGTATTGTTTTATTGAGCTTTGTATATTGAAGACATTTTCTCATCCCCATCTCTCTTCCTCTTTGTTTAGTTGTGGTCACGCTACCATTTGCAGAGGGGGAAACTAAAGATGTGACAGTGAAGAGTGGTGACACATTGAAGCTGCTGACTGATCCCTCTCTTAAACTGCAAGGTGACTCCCACATCCTGTGGTACATCCAGTTAATTGGACAGAAAAAGGGTAAGACCATCGCCAACTATGAAAGTGGGACATTGAAGCTTCCTCACCCAGAGTGGTCCAAAGAAAAACTCCAGCTGGATGAGACATTGGGGTCTATTACTATTGGGCCGCTCAGCGTCAATGACAGCAATATTTTCCACGGAGATATCACTGACATCAACGGCATGTTGCACAGGTTCCACTATAACGTCACTGTCATGGGTGAGTTTCTTTTTAAAGATATTAAATAATGGCAAAGGTTTTTTTTTTAATATAAATTAAACCTGTTAAAAATGAGCTTTGATGTTAGCTCCTTTAATGATTATTTAAGTTCTCAGTTTAGCACACAGCTGATGGTACTGATGGAGCGAGCATTAGCACAACTAGTAAGCATCAACAAAACAAAATCATGTACAAAAGCAGATGGGTTCTGGAGAAAGAATAAGCAAAAGTACAAGTTAAGCAGTGTGTTCTTTTAAAGTTAGGCGAAATCCCTTTCTTGCTAAGAATTAGTTGAAGATTGATAACAGCTCTCTGACTCTATAGCTGCTAAAAAAAAAAGCAACCTAGGTTCCACTATCTTAATTTAGCATTGAGCTCTCTGAATGAAAATGAAAACTGCTGTGTACATACTTTCCATATTCTTTGAAGAATCATTCACAAGACATGTTGCATTTAGAAAGACAACATTTAGGATCTTAAAAGTAACTTAAACTTGACCTTAAACTTACAATATGTTCAATTGTATGACAATGTTTACATTAAAATATCTTAATTAATGTATTGAATAAATCAATTAAACATTATGTTATATATTTTTATGTTGAGTACTTACATTACCTCAAATATTTCCAACAGTTATCAAAGCTAGAGAAATCTGTAATTTTATAGTAACCTAAGGTGTCTTGTCGTGGCGGCCGCAGAGCTGAAAAAGCGGACAGAATGTTTATAGTGGAAAAATTAGATGTTACGTCAAAGACCGCTATGTAAGGAAGTGGAAAATGCTACTGAAAGCTGCCGTACTGTTGCTGCTGTGATAAAAAACATCATGTAAATTATACTTGGATACATTGTCGGTAAACATAGTCTCTTCCTCAGGTCTGTTTCGCCTGTTCTTCATCATTACAGTCAATGCTGAGTTCAGCTTCATCATGTTATTGTAGTATTGATTGAAAGGGGCTTTCAATCCCCGACTGGCGGCGGAATACATTTTATCTTTAAACCACTATCTTTTTAGCAAAACAAATCTGTAAGCTGATTTTTCTGTGCAGTTAATTGCAATCCAAAGGATACTGGAAAAAAAAACATTAAGCAGATTTATTAATGTCAAATTCATGCTTTGTCTTCTACAAGACCAGACAAAGAACTGTTACATGCTTGTTTTATTTAGTGAGGTTTGGATTGAGTCTTTTTGTTCTAATCTCATAATATCAGGGGAAGCTCACACAGTATTGCTTAAACTTCTCACTCTGATTTTAAGATTTTAAAAAGTGATAAAACTTGCAAACATGAGTCACCCAAAGGTTGAATTGTTTTGGTCAAGCAAATTTAGCGAGTATTTGCATTTTTTAGGACTTTGTTTGCAATAGACATGGACTGTTTAATTATCATTAAGGTGCATGTGTGAACAGGCAACAGAGATTTCAGTGCAGCTTTCTCTGAAATTCTTTGAGACACTTTCAGGAGCACAAAAGGCTGAACTGTTTTTGCTACTGCTCACACTAACCATCTCCCTTTGTCTTTTTTTAAAGATGATTCAAACCCAGTGACTGCAAAGCTCCCAGAAAGCAGGAATGATCCCAACAACCAGAGGAGCCACATAGGCCTAGGAGGTGCTTTACCAATTGTCTGCGCTATCGTCTTACTGCTGATAGTTGTCGGCCTGATGTTCAAGAAAAAGACACAGACGGAAAAGAAAGGTAATTAATAACAGAGTTAGAACTACAGTTTGATCAGCTACTCCTCTGGGCCAGATTGTTAAAAAATTTCAATCTAGATAACAATTATCCAGATTAGGACATATTTTTTTGTAATCCAGCTAATCCAGCTCACTTTGACTAAACTTCATAAATATTAACCAGAGAGTTTCACCTGGTGAACTCATTTCTTGTTATCTCTTCTTCACAGGAAACACTCAGGAAGTCCTTGACATTCCGCTTCAAGACATTCAACCTTAAGGAGAAAGAGATGAGAGAAGATCCAGGATGAATTTGACCAAAAAGATAAATCTGTTATCAAACTATTGCAGAGGAAACACACTGTGGCTGCATTTCACACATGTTGTTTTGTGCCTGAAAGGAAATCATCAGGTTTAATCAGGATATCCTCTATAAGGATCCTGCTGTGTGCTCTTGCTGTTGTCAGTAAAACTGTGAGAATCTTTCACATTAAACAATATCTTCTTTGTAATACCAATGAATGTGATCTCTACATCACTGTTGCTATGAGTGATTGTATTTATGTAGGATGACTGTAAAGGATTTTTAGTCATCTCAATTGATCGCACTGATGTTTTTCTTAATGTATTATTTATGTTTAGCTAAGCGCTCCTCATTCAGTTATGGGAGATACAGAAATAAAAATGTGTTGAAAACATCTATGTTGTGTGTGTTTAATGAATTCTGTCCTGTTAGCTTGTGGCTGTTTGATCCACATTAGAGTTTAAGTGACTTTTTTTTTTACAACCAAACAAATGAATGTCAAAGATTTCCATCCTCCCAGCTCCCATGACTTCCATCACTTTCCATGTGAGTATAAAACCTAGAGAGGACATATTATTCAACACAGTTTAAGTTTCTGATATCTGTTTTTTTTCTGACAAATAAGTTTTACTCCCTACATTTTAACGCAAATATCTTAACCCCACATGATATTTTAAACAAAGGCTTGTCACTTTAGCTTTAATGCATCAGAGGGGAAAAGAAAGCAAAACAATATAAAACACAAAAGAAGGTGAACAGAGTAAATTATAAAACACTATAACACCTTGTTTCCCCAAAATGTAAGGATGTTATGTAAAATGTAAATAAAGACATGATGATTTAATAGTAAACCACATATTAAGTTGAAAATAGCAAAAACACTGAGAAATGTCATTGTTTTGGAAAATGACATCTGATACCAGCAGCATGTCAGGACTGAGTGCTGATAAAAAAGCTGGATGGTCCCTCTGGTCTTTAGCTCGAAGGACCAGCTTCCATTAGTTCCAAACTGAATTTTGGGGACAGAAAACTTAGACACAGTCAATCTCTAGATTCTTTAATAGGGATGTGGGGGTTGTGCAAACATTTTTCCTACCCCAAGTGATGGCATGACAGAAAATATTTGAGAACTATGCTCTTGATTAGCTTAAAACACTGACTGATACCACTGAACAAATAGTTCAACTAAATCCAACGAGTGTCTATAGAACAAATGACCCCTAGCCTTTATCAAATTTAGACTTCAGGTCCTTTCTTATCACTGACCTACCACCAGAAAGAAGAGTAAACCTGTTCAACCAAGACTACTGCAATGCCATATATGGCATGAAAAAAGAGCAATGTGAAATGTCATTCTCGCAAGATGCATGCTGCAGAAGAGAGGCAAAGAGAGGAGCATTGCGACCTCAAATAACCTTTGGAGGGTAGGGCTGGGGTATACTGAGGCCCTTTTTCAATATATTATCCTCAATTCAAGATTTTACGTACTAACAAACATTTGTAAATATTAAAATGATTGGCTCAGTACAAGCAGCATGTCAAAACATCAGAATGACATATACCCGAGTAAAGATTGTATCTCCTGACCTGTCCTCACAACACCACACAGGAGCAAAATAAACCATAGATATAATATCAAGCTTCAACCAAAGAAAGTCTGCTATTGATTTCAGAAAGACTCAGCAATAGTTCAGAAACATTATTAATAAGAAATAGTTTACTAGTGCTAACTAATGGGCAGATTCTGTTCCTTGATATAAAACAAAGCCAATCACGACTTAATACACGTGAAAAACGTATAAAATACACCACAAAAACCAAAGCATTTCCAACGGAAACATTCAAACTTCGAGTTCAACAGGCATTTTTTCACTGCTATGAGCAACACATTTTTAATAGGAAAGACACCAAAGTGAGATCCATTTCTTGTGTTACTTACCCCAACATCTCTCTCTCTCTCTCGCGAGCCCGGGCCGCCTGCTTGAGACGACAGCCTCAATGCATGGGGCGCGCGCCCTAACCATTGCGCCACCAGGACGCCCCAATGTGGGGATTTTTTAAGGAGTGAAGACCATGTGTCTTCCAGTACAAGTTTGAATGACAATAAAGAAAGTCTAAGTCTAAGTCTAATGTGACAGGTTGTCTGAAATGTTTGTGTGTCTCCATTGTTTTCTGGTTTTGGGAACTCACACCTAACCAGCTGAATTTCAGGTTCTCGCTGGTCTCCTCACAGCTGCTAAACAATCTTGTTGTCTCTTTTTGTTTTTGTTTTACAGAGTCTAAGACGTCCACTGGATCCCAAAACTCTGCTCACTACCAGAGGGCTCACCTGGCATCTATCTTAACTGCTGCTGCCTGCGTTGTGTTGCTCTTGTGAGCAGCTCAGTACGGAAAATCTCAGGGTCAGTACTTTAATTTATATAGGTAGTATAGCTGTTGTAGTTTATTATCTGTGTTGAATCCACGTTGTTTTCCATATTGACTTTTTTTTACCACAGACAGATGTATCAAATGTTTTTCATACAGTCACTCACTATCTCCTCACTGACAACAGGAGGAGATAGTTAATGAAATAATCAGACATGTGAATCAAAGTCAACGGACGACACACATTCAAAAGGACATCTACATACATGATGATGTACCGACATAGTAAATAAAGGAATTAAAAATACCTAAATGAAAATAAAAAAAGAGAGCAAGTAATCGTATTTATAATAATAGTCAAATCCACTTTTAATACTTCTCCTCTGCCAGTGGGTTGTTCTAGTTAGTTTGAGCTCTTCAAAGTACAAAATGGGAAATCGTGCTACAAACAAAATGTAAGAAAGTAATCAGCTCTGCAGAAAAAAAGCTTCGGGAGCAGTTGTGACCAAGCTAACAGTTAGTATACTTTGTGGTTTATAACTGTTGAATTAAACCTCTGATTAAATCCATGAAGCCCTTTATTTAAATCTGGTGCATGTACACGCTGTCCAATAAAAAGTGAACCTGATGTATGAAAAATAAAGACAACAGTAGAGAGAAGCCAGACAGAGGTAACAAGTTGACTTTATGTTGACTGCTGCATTCAACCTGTATTAATCAGACTTTAACAAACCCTAAACACAGTCAGCCTGGGTTTTATTTACACCTTAAACTACTGCTCCTTTGTTACCACAAGACAGTAATCATGTTTTTATTTGTGTATTACAGGAAATGTGAGCCCGCCTTCCTGCCTATGCAACCACCCAGTGTGTGATCCTCAGCCATCGGTGGATACAGAACATTATCTCCCCTTCCCATCAACGTGCTAATTGAAAAAACTATTCGCTATGCACAACATGCACTCCAGGACATTCCACTTTTAGAGATTGATTGTGTTTTGTGGCCATAATGAGGCCTTAAAGTCATTTCACTGTATTTCTCCTTGCTGTCGTTTTCCAGTTGTGTTCTCATCTCCTTCCTGAACACCAACAATTATGTTTTTTTTATTTAAAAATATGGACCAAAGTTTTGAATGTACGAATAATTGAAGAGATTTTAGGATGGTACAGCTGGTCAAGACACACTCAAAGAAATGACCTAGGGCATGTGTTTGATTAGCAAACTAGGGATTTGTTTACATAAAATGAATTAATTGTGTTTCGCTCTACTAAATGATTAATTCTTGTTCAAAAAACGAGCGGTTAATGTTAATCTAGCGTGACTGTATCGTGGGCATTGTTGTTTTAATGTCAGAGGAAGCACAAACTTTAGCGCAAGGCTTCGGCTTAAATCAACAGACTCGCTTTTGTTGTCAGCCGGGGCTTCATGGGTGACTGACGACTCCCACGCTTCTCCAGCTGCGTGTATTTCAGTGAAGCGGGCTGAACACATGAACTGAGATAAGTTAAGATGGAGGACAGCGGGTCTGTGGCAGCAGTTGCGTTAAGGTAACAACAAGAAGCAAGTTGAATCAATTAGATAGTTCAGTCTGTAACCTAACAACATTAGAACATGTGGAGTATGCTCGTTTCCTTGGATTTTCACTGGTCAGTCGTGCCATTCTTAAAATGATTCACTATCTGTATTTAGGTTAATATAATATTGCATTTTTGTTTTATTAACTATATGCTCCTCAACATTAAGTTAAATGGTCTGTGTCTACCTACAAATACTGAAATGTTTATTCACAACATATGCCTAAATATTGCTTGAGGTTTTTAACATTTTAAAACTGTTTCTCTTTTATTAACCAGAAATACATCAGAAATTCAGCAGTCCCCATGCCTTGAGATGTTTATGTACCTCATGCAGTACATGGTAAGTTAATATTTTTATCATATTGATTATCCAGTGCCAAATGTGCGTTGTGCACACATCTAAAATTGAGGATTAGTGATTTAGCTTAAATGTAGTGTTAAATTATTTTTGCAAACTGAATTTGCTTTAATTTCTGAGGGTACGAGGCCTGATAAGTACTGGAATATTTGTTCATATTTTGTATGAAGCTTCATTTTTAGCAGATTTCCTCCAGTTTTCTGTTTTCAACGTTTGATACTGCATTGTTAATGCAAAATCATCACCTGCATCAATATTAAAGCATTAACATTAAAATTCCTTTGGCATTTCAATGGCCAGAACCCCTACAGTACTCCTAATGTACAGACACATGAAAAATTATCTAGCTTGGAAGATTTATTTAAGTCAAGTGCTGAGCTAAAGTTGGCTACTTTAGTTGGGGGTGGGGGGCTTACGGCTGTTTGGCCGGCAGCCGCCGCGGCTTACTGTGTGGCACAGACACAGACAGACCATAGACTAGACAGGGATAGACACGAGATGCTGAGGTTTTTCCGCGGCATGAAAATGGAACTCCGCACGCCGGAAAATTCGCACCGCACTTGATGTGTAAGGTTGACTTGCGGGGGGAAAAAAAAGCACACATGGATTTTCCGCATTTCCACACCGCATATCGCATCGCACTCGGTGTGAATGGGCCTTAAGCTAGTAAAATACAATACTTTAACAAGTATTGAGGGGTTTTGTTTACAAATTTTGAAGGACGCAAAGTATTGACAATTATCCTTTAAGATATTGAGATCATTTTCTTTTGTGAATATCGCCCACCCCTAAAATGTACATAAATTATCATTTGCTAATCTTTTCTTCTTCTCTTCTTTCTTTCAGTGACGTGTATGTGGCAGTGCAAACATTGTGTGGCAAGAGAGAGTAGTAGGTACAAATTACTTAAACATTATAAACTACATCATCATTATGGGAGAAGCCAACATTATCAATGCATATATGTAAATTGTCCTTACACATTCAGGACGTGGACTGGACTTCACACCCATGTCTATAAAGCTCATTCCTCTCAACCAACACAGACTGCTTTAAATTCAGGAACATTTAAATGCGAGGTATGTGGATGTAGTGACTTCTCTACTGAGAGATATTTTTTTATTCATATTGGGACACATCTGCACAGTTGTGAGACAGTTGGTTGTGTATTTCTTGGATACTCTTTCCAGACAAATATTTACAGTACATTTTACACACAAAAATAGAAAGCATCATCCACACACATTAAAAGATTTTAAAACCAGTGTAGTTAAGTTTGTGAACCCTGTCCAAGGATCAGATACCCCTGATGCTGTTGTAACTGGCTGTTCTGATGTGTCATTTGATGAGGTTGAGGCTGAGACCGTGACAGAAAACGACAGTGGAGCTGTTGAAAAGCTACCAGAAGTAATTGAGCGGAAAATAGCAACAATATTGTTAAAATTAGAACATATATTTCATATTCCAGCAAAAGGATTAGATGAGTTGTTGGAGGAGTTTCATTTTTTAAGTTCAGCTAGCGTACAATTACAGAAATTTTCAAAAGCCATAACCTCAATATTGGTCAGGCAGTTGTCGAAGAACTTGACAATTCTGTGTCTCTCTCTAACCCTGTCACTAAAAGTTTTGAAAAGTGTGGACCTCTTGCCACATCCTATAAAAGAAAACAATATTACAAGCAAAATTTTAGCGTTGTAGAGGCTGTTGAGTATATTTTATCTGTCGAACAAAGGAGGTCATTTCAATATGTCCCATTATTACAGTTATTTCAGGAAGTACTGAGTCACAATAAATTACTGGATAAAGTGGTTGATGAACACATAGCTCAAAAAAATAAAGAAGCTTTGCATTGTGATCAGAGAGTTTACAGGTCTTTTCGAGATGGTGAAAATTATAAAACAAATAGCTTTCTAGCGGTTGATAAGTTGAGAGTTTCCATAAAACTTTATCGACGAGTGTGAGGTTTGTAATCCTCTTGGAGTCTCTCACAGACTTTCTCAGTAAAAAAGAGCATTGGTGGAAATGCACATGAGAATTGGGCTCTGCTTCAACTGTTGCCTCTGATCATTGGTCCACTTGTTCCAGAGGATGAACCTACATGGCATGTTGTTTTGGATCTCAAGGACATAGTGGAATTTGTTGTAGCCCCTGTCCACTCTGAAGAGTCAGTATCTTTCCTCGAGTGTAAAATTGATGAACATCGCCAGAGATACCAAGAGCTTTTTCCCAACAACAGGCTTCTCCCTAAACATCATTTTTTGGAGCACTATGCTGTTCTGATTCGCCTTTTTGGCCCTCCATACATGGACGATGAGATTTGAGGTGAAACATAGTGTCTTCAAACAGATTGCTCGCCATACAAACTGTTTCAAAAACATGCCTCCCACACTCGCAAGAAAACATCAGCTTGTGATTGCCTCTGATTTGCACTCTCTTGACCATAGGACACCTTTGGCGGTAACGTGTGTGTGTGTGTGTGTGTGTGTGTGTGTGTGTGTGTGTGTGTGTGTGTGTGTGTGTTTTTTTTTTCAGGTCTCCACAATGACCCAGCCTATGAGACTGAGGGTCATCCTGGGTGACGATGATGCCAGAAAGCTAATCCTGCCCGCAGGTAGACCAGGCTCCATGGAGGAATTGTACAAGACTATAAAGATGAGTTTTGGATTAGAGCAAGATTTCCGTCTTCAATATCAAGATGCTGATTTTGGAAATGACTTCATAAATCTGTCAGAGATCTCTGACATTGATGACAAAGCGACTTTAAAGGTGGTCTATGTTGTGGCAGTCTACTTGCAAAATTCTACAGAAGCTGACTCGATGCTTCAACCTCTACCAGTCCAAAGCCTTACTGATTCCTCATCAGTCTCCTCGGTTGACACAGATAATACAGAGCCTGCTTCATCATCAGGGTCATAGCTATCTGCACGGCTGTTCAGTTGGCCAAGTGTTTTCACAGTGCCTCCCTTCAACGATGAGTCTGAACTGTAACTTGAAACGGCCAATGCTGAATGCAGTGCGAATGGAACTTATTTGAGCCCGCCACCGAAGCTGAAATCTCACATGCTGGAACGACTGTCTGAAGAAATTCTTAAATTCAAAGCCTATCCAACTGACAATGATCTTACTGACGTTGCAGAAGCACTTGTGAAAAAGCATCCTTGTCTGAGGGAGCAAGGATCCTTCAATGGCTGTTATGGGTGGAAGATTAGCCTCAAATACAAAATGGCCAACTTCCGGTCCAAACTGAGGGGCCTGGGCTGTCCTGAGGTGACGATAAATTCACTAAAGAACAAGAACCAAGACAAGCGTTTGGCAGCCCTGAATGTGAAAAAGCCGGGAGGGCAGAAGTTAATTACTGTCCTCAGCATCCAAAAGGAGAAACCGCTGAGAGTCTGGAGAAGGTGTAAATTACAATACGAATGGAACTTATTTGAGCCCGCCACCGAAGCTGAAATCTCACATGCTGGAACGACTGTCTGAAGAAATTCTTAAATTCAAAGCCTATCCAACTGACAATGATCTTACTGACGTTGCAGAAGCACTTGTGAAAAAGCATCCTTGTCTGAGGGAGCAAGGATCCTTCAATGGCTGTTATGGGTGGAAGATTAGCCTCAAATACAAAATGGCCAACTTCCGGTCCAAACTGAGGGGCCTGGGCTGTCCTGAGGTGACGATAAATTCACTAAAGAACAAGAACCAAGACAAGCGTTTGGCAGCCCTGAATGTGAAAAAGCCCGGGAGGGCCGAAGTTAATTACTGTCCTCAGCATCCAAAAGGAGAAACCGCTGAGAGTCTGGAGAAGGAAAGAGTCGCACTGCTTTCAGAAAATAAGAACAACAACGACCATATTGTGACATTGACAATGGAGAAGACTTTCTCATACAGGAGGCAAGAAATCCTTACAGGAGAGCCTTTGGTTGCAGACTTCAAGAGTAGATGGCCAGCTCTGTTCAATGCGAAAGAGGTGCGTGTCCTATGTGTGCTCAGGTTTAATTATTACCAGTTATTTTTCTCTCTACTGATAATGATTAAACAACTAGTAGTTCATTGCTCATTCTTCTTGGCTTATGATGTTCTTATAGGGTTAGTGACATTTGCTTTATTGTTTTCCAGATCGATAAGGAGTTCCATCGCATATCAACTGTACCTCTACTTTCTACATTCTTTGCTGCTCTCGACCAGTTCTCTCCATGCCTGATGGGGATATTTCGGTGCAAAGGTGGAGCACCTGGAAGAAGAATAAGACACGTCATGGTGGATATTTCCAAGGTTTGTATTAAAGAGTTGATTTCTGCTTATACAATGTTTTTACAAAAAGAAATAACAGATGCCCTCACATTCCTGTTAGCAAAAGAAGTGCCCTATCAACACCATTAGTAACGGTTTCATTTTAACATTTATTTTATTCTTTTTTGAATATATTTTTCACTTATTTGCAGTTTTCTTGTTCTTCAGTTCAATGAGGCCTATATTTAAAGTTCAAATTAATTGTGTTAAAAGAAACACCTGTGTTCAGTTAAATAAATGCATGATGTTCTCAAACAACGTCTTTAATAATCATGATTTGAATCATGATTTGTGCCAAAATCAAGCAGCCCTAATACACTGTCAGCTGTATCTGCAAGACTGGTGTCTGACTTTTGATTTTAGCACCTATAAATGATGCCAATACACAGTATTTTTCAATGTGTAAAGTTCGTATTGTAATTTTTATAGTGCTTTTTTCAATGTTTCCTGTTGTACCAGAAGTTAGTAAAGACACAAAGAATATCATAAGTAAATTGACCACAACGAAAGGAAGCTACAGAGACGTAACATGAGAAAAGGAATGATTGGGAGAGTGATGAAAAGCATAAAAGTTTACATTTGTACAGTTACCTTTTCAAACTGCTGCCAACAATAAAGAATATTGTCTAAACGAGTTCCCTTTTTTCCCTCAGGATGACACAATTCATACAAGACATGCATGTGTCCTCAAGTCCTTGTGCATCTACTTGAACGAAGACCCAGAGAAACTTGTTAAGGATTATATGGTGAGTTACGTACACAATGTTTGACAAAGTAGCTGTAAAACAGTTGGAAAGAGTAAACCTTTACTTGCTTGGTATGATAAATTCACAGTAGAAATTGACGGTGAAACGTATGTATTAAAGCTCCAGTGTGTAAAAGGAATTGCCGTTTTTCCAGAACACACTCTGAATATAATATTCATAAGTATTTTTTATAATCTCTTGAAAATAAGTTATTTCTTTTATGGCCTTAGAATGAGCATTTTATATCTACACAGGAGCGAGAAGCGCCGCCATGTTTCTGCAGTAGCACAGAAGGGACAAAGTTAACAGCCTTACAGGATGTTTTTATATATAGTGGGTGTTCTGGGGAAATGCACCTGTTAGAGTAAGAATAATTACTATATAATAAATAACTACATACATCTTCACCTCATCACGTGATATTGTAGAAAGACTTGGGGCAGGGGTGGATAATGTCATCTTTAGTCCCTAGCTTATTGTCCTTGAAGGCCACTGTAGCTTCTGTAAATTCTCCCTAAAGGGCAAAATACATGCTATAACACACTGCACCTTTTAGGCCTAATACAAATTCTGCCTATTATTTTATCTAATTATGAAATTTCTTTGAGTTTGAAAACTAGAGACATCAAATTTAATGTTCTCAGTTTTAAACAACCATGACAATATTTATCATCTATTTTGTGCAGAGCTGGGTTGAAGTCATAAATTCAAGCAAACATAAAACAAAATGTACTTATTATATCCCACAGAACACAGACAGCGAGGTCTGCGCTTCCATGGACCAGACTGTGTTGGGAGTGTATGTCATACAGAAGGAGGGTGCGGAGCCTGGAGATGACCCAGAGGACATCGGTATCCTGATTGAAGGTGTGAAGATCCTCAATGAGTTGGGCAACATTGGGATTGCCTGTGCTTTGTTATTTGGACTAATATACTGTCTAAACCTGAGCTACCCACCAGACCTCAAATGTACTTTTGAAGTGATGCAGAAGATTCTTCTGAATCTGGATGGGCAGAGGTTGCCGTCCAAGGCACAGTTCCTAAAAAATAAGCTCATGGAGTAAATTTGCTCTAAGTAGACGTCAACAATGCAGATTTTTTTTTTGCTTTAGTTGAAAATGTTCAGAAGGACTTGCCTTTAGTATGCTCAACAGACAGAGACCAAGAATGTCGTCTCAGCTTAAAATGTGTTTGCAAGCAGTCTAGTGTAGCTGTTTGTTCCTGGTCTCTTTCTGCAGTAAGACTGTAAGAACTTGAAATGACAGTCATACACTTACTGAAAGATTGTATAATGATGTTTAGTAGTGTTTAATGTTTTGATGAGAAAATGTTTTAGATGCATTTGGGGGAAAAATTTATATTAAACTTTAACACCTTACATGAGGAAACCCCACCAAGTTAAAAATGTTTAACATGTCTAAGGTATTTCTGCTTATGTGAAGAAAACAATATACTTTTGGGGCTCCAGAAGAAGCTGTATGTTATATGCTAAAAATGTTATTCAGTAGCAAATTGCTACAATTGCATTGTGGGTAATGCAGTCAAAAGGTTTATCAACACCAAATGTTCAATAAAATGTCAAATGAATTTGAATGTTGTCATTTTTATGCACATTTGGTCATGTATAATACATTCTTGTCCTAGGAATGAACACAATACTAATTAAACCAACAAGATTGACATTAGTTCATTCAATAACACTGACATTAGTATAACTCACAAACCCTGTATGTGTTGATACAACAAGGTTGAATTTTGTTCGACTTACGTGTTCGACCAATGCAGAGTACATTCAATTTGATTTAACCAAAATAACTAAGAACAACCATTTAAATTCAACAAGATGCAAATTAGTTGTGTGCAAATATTAATGTGATGTTCAATCCACACATGTATATTGTATTCAAATAACATGATAAAGTCTGGCTCACTTAACATGATTTGTTTAGATGGAATATAGGTGGCATGATAAAATCATATTAATCCAATGAATTATTATTTTGAGTGCAGACTGTCACTGAGGCAGTGAGTTTTGGCTCTGGCTACAGGGAAACCCCACGCAGCCAAGAAGAGAGGCAGACAGAAAGTGGGGGGGGAGAGAGACTTGAGCTGAGGCTTGAGCTGAGTTGAGTCCTGACATCGAAGGCCCTGAGTGTGTCTCCTCCTACCTCGAGTGCCAGAGAAAAAGGCAAGACGAGTCCCCTCCCAGGGAGAAGGCTAGATGCAAAACAAAACAAGGAGCCACGACGAAGCACAAGGAGACACAAGTAAACTGACAACCAACATAGACTGACAACTAACATTCGACAAACGACATACAATGAACTGACACAGAGGGGAAGAAACACAGAGACTAAATAGACACGGGGTAATCAGACACAGGTGAGACTAACGACACAGGTGAAGACAATCGGGGTAATCAAGGTAGGGCGAAACAAAAGACCAGAAACACAGGACAATACAAAATAAATCATGAAACACTAAAGACACACAGAACTCAAGAGTCTGACAAAACACACTAGAACACAGAGATACACGAGGATAATAAATTACAAAATAAAACAGAAAACACTGAAGACAAAACTAGGAAACCATCAACACCAGGAAACATTAACACACAAGGGAAACAATCTACACTGGGATTAAACGGGGAGACTCAAATACAAAACCAAATCATGACAACATCACTATAAAGCAATAAATATGACATGACCATGATTTGTATACGTAACAGAGGCACACTTCATACAGGTGTTTCCTGTCTAGTTCACAACAGACACTTGACTTCAATCCAAATAACTCTGCTGCTATGAGGTCTCTTACACACATGTATTACAGCTTCACAAACCTGAAAGGAGAATTACTCTTAGATGGTTGACACGATTCAAAGATATATTCACAAAATTATCAAGATGAATGAATTCATGAAATTACATAATAACAAACATTGTATTGAATTTTCCCAACATCAAGTACATACGGGCATATTGGTGACAGATAAGTACTTTAGTACTTTGTACTACATGTACTAACATGTACTATTTTAAGGACAATTTGGACAATGAGTCACAGTCCTTTAATGTGAGGGGATCAGATACAGTGGCAAGCTTTGGGAAGTCCAGCGGAAAAGGAATGTTGTGTAACCCAAGGGTTCATGTTGAGAACAATCTGGTACTCATAAGCACTAATACTCTCACCCGAGAGACCCTCATTCAGAGGGCAATAAAATAAAAAGTTACCCTCACACTGTCACTCTTCAGCTTTTGAGGATACAAAATTCTATGTAATGTGCTCTGATCCCTCTTCCCCTTGAGGCTCCTGACTGGCAGTGATTTTGCATGCATGCAGTGTTTCATACACAGCAGCAGTTCCCACTTAGGGTGCGCTCACACTGGCAATCCGTACCGTACCATGCTTCAGCACGATTGGCCCCCCCCTTCCCCATTCCCCCGCTGGCCGGTACGGCCTGCGCTCACCCTGCTCCAGGAAATCTGGGCCTAAGCACGTCGTAATACAGCACATGCATAGCTTTAGGTCATTATGAAGCGTGCTCAGTTTACAAACAGAGGGACTCCAGAAAAAAAGTTGAGTCCGCGTTTGCACATCTGAGAACAATGCGGAGAACATGACAGCTATACTTTGTGGCTTATTTTGAGTCAGCCAGAACACTCCGGATTTCTCAATAATAAAGGCCTAAGCACGGTACGGATGGCCAGTGTGATCGCTCTGATGCCGCCTTTTAAAGGCAAACAATGCGCTTTCTGTGATCCTCCATATCAACAGACTTTTCTGCAGAGCTAACGGCAAGCTTGGTGACGTGAGGAAGATCATGACACTGTGGACGCTAAAACAACCAACTGACATCAGCAGAGAACAGAGCAGAGGTAAAAGTGACAAAGGCAGACGATTGGTTGATAGAGGTTGTGGCGGAATGTGGTTGGTTTGATACTTAATAGATGGTTTCTATACTGATTAGAGCTCTCAAGAACTGCCGTCAATGTTGTGCTTTGCCTCTGGTCACTTCCTGTCAGCACCTGTGTGTCCAATCGGACTCAAAGCTGATAGTTTGCTCTTACTGACATTGTTCCTTTTTTTCTAGATCCTTGCTTGTGTTGTACTTACTCTCTGATGTACGTCGCTTTGGATAAAAGCATCTGCTTAATGAAATGTAGAATTGTAGAATTGTAGAGTATGAAAACAGTCTTTTTGATTGAAATCATTCAGAGTCAGTTTAGATTGCATAGCCCTGTCACACAATTTCAAGTGTTGGCAAATCAGTTTTCTGAATATAATGAGTTTTAATAATATAATGTTGAAAGCTCAGCTGTATACCAGGGAGCAGAGTTACAACTTGTTCTTGTCTTTTTAAAAGGTGCATGCTTACACCAAATTGATTACATTCGAAAAATAAATATAAGCCAGTTCAGTATCTGGGATTGTGACGGTCATTGCTGTCAGACAGAACAGGGCCTTGTTGTTCTTGTATGTAGTCCCTGCCCCTGTTTGTGGTGTTGTATGAGGATACTCAAATCTCTCAGAGAAAACTATGTTCTATCACCTGCTGCCACTGACACAGAGAGGAGACACAATGGTTGGCTCATGCCAAGCGATCGTCTTATCACTAAACACCACAAAACCCAGGCAGTTCAAACACAATGGCACAGGAAGCGGTTTGCAAACCTCAGATGATAAATTAATTAATCTAGCTTTTGCAACAAACAACTTTAAGCTGCTCAATTTATGCTCGCGCACGCACAGACATAAACAACAACAGGGATACGCCTCACATTTTTAAAAGTTATATTTCAGTACTGAAACAACAGAAAGCAGCTGTAGGCCTACATTAACAGATATTCTGTTATTTATTGGAGTTCAGCACAATCGGCAGCAAGCAGCTGTATATTCACATTTTTAAAATGGAGCCAGGAGAAGCTTCAGTTTTGATGCATGTACGGACAATGGAACTTATCTCTCCCCCTCCCTCTATCTCTATCTGGTTGCAGGGAGCCTGCGGCGCGCACTCCTGCACTCCCTCTCTCGCTCTCTCAGGCACGCATCAATTTTATGAATAAATGCAAAATTAAATAAGAACAGGTCTGAAATATCGCCCAGGTATCGTCTTTGTGTGGGAAACACTGGAGACTAAATATTCTCAAACAGGTTGTTGGTATAAAGTTGTCATTTTTATTGTTCTGCACTTTTTTTTTGATTTGGGCAAATGTCAGAGTTGTGTTAGTTTAAGTGCAGGTTCTAGCGCCAGCCCTTAGTAGGCCTACAGTGTGGCTGCCAACAGTCAATAATAAATAATATTCTTTTAGTAATATATTTGCGTAAAATGTGTGTAGAAATAGGCCTACAGTGTATTTTAACATCTACCATAATGGTGGTACTTGGAGGGCCAAATATTTTCGGAGGTGGTACGCAGTCTAAAAAGTTTGAGAACCACTGAACTAGAACATCACATCCCTGAGTCATTTCTCGGTCTTTACATATGTGCAAAAAGTGTGCCAGTATATCACAAATGTATTTTTGGATATTTTAGTTTAAGTTGTAATCATCCTTGCTGGTCAACATCAAGGACGATGGTGTCGACAGGAAGATCTTCCTTTTCCTGTTGCCATTTTGAGCGGGTCTGCAGGGATGGAAGATAGTTTCTGATTAAGTGATTTCAGAATTGATCAGCCAAGACTTGACACTGCTTACACCTGCGACGGCTGATGAGCTCTGTGCCTGAGTAGATGACCTGAGGTGTTGACGGATCAGGCCACCCCATCAGCAGCATATTGGGAGTGATGGGATCTGGGTCTGCGATGTCGGATGAGGTATAACCCAGGGGTTTGGAATTTACAATGCTCTCCACTTTAATGAGTATTGTACTCAATACTTCCTCTGTGACACTCTGAGCTCCCAGGATGGTGTGAAGAGCAGATTTAATAGAGCGGATCTCCCGCTCCCAGGAACCGCCAAAGTGTGGTGCATGTGGAGGATTGAACCGGAAGTGAATCTGCTGACTGGCTTGTTGTGACTGCAGAGATGGGGTGAGTGAGTTGAAAGCCTCTTTGAGTTCAGCGCTGCCTCCCCTGAAGTTTGTGCCTTGGTCCGATAACAGCTCGAATGGCTTCCCTCGTCTGGCGATGAAACGACGAAGTGCTAACTGAAACGAGTCACTATCCATACTGGCCAGCAGATCAAGGTGTACAGCATGGGTGGTTAGGCACTTGAAAATTATGCCCCATCGCTTCTCGGTGCGCCGTCCAATCTTGATGAGGTAAGGCCCAAAGCAGTCCATACCTGTTGAATAGAAGGCTGGGTGATGAAGCCTTAAGTTGGGGATGACTGGGTTGCTCTGCAATTTTCTACATTCAGGACAGTTATACTGATGTTTGCAGACTGCCTCTCTGCCTCGAAGAATCCAGAACCGCCTGCACAGCTCAGCAAAGACTCTTTCAGGTCCAGGGTGGGCCAGCCGGCTGTCAAAGTCCTGAATGATGAGCTTGGTGATGTGATGATGAGGGTCAAGTACAACTGGATGCATTGTATCTTGGCAGAGGTCGTCACATCTCCATTGGTTGCCTGATTAATCATTC